TTTTTTTTGGTTCTCTTATAAACTAAAGTATTTGAGAAAAAAAATTCAGCCTTGTAGAAATAAGTCAAAAAAGTTAATTTTTCAACACCTTGCGTGGGTGGTAGACCCTTGATGGCCCCCCTTCCGACGCGGTAGACTATCACTATACTGTATTTTTAGGTATAATTGATCACTCTAAAAAGTTTCAGCCTTGTAGGTATAAGGCATTTAAGTATTATTTATTTACATGTTTAAAAAATTGTTACTAACGTTTGCCCCCACATTGGCGCGGTAGACTGCCGTTCCGTTTACTTACGATATCAAAACAACAAAATGAGAAAAAATCAGCTTTGTAGGAATTGGTGCAAAATTTCTGTCGCTGCCTCCCGGACTACTACTTCTGTTTTAATTTTGATGTCATAGAAACTGATTTCTACTTCCGACCGTGGAAAAAAAGAGTTATTGCTAAAATAAAGTGTATACAAGTGTATAAAGTGTGTACAAGATAACAAAAACTAAAATAATATTGTTTTAAAGCACAAAAACTAAATAAATTTAACAACGTCTAAACTAAAACATTTTGTAAATAAATAATAATTATTATTATTAAAAAACGTACAAAATCATAACAAGACAAATAACTATCTAATCATCCATTAATTCTAATAATATTCGGTATTATAATGCTGGGTTCACAAGTGATGTTTATTAAATTAAAACACTATTCGAAAGCCATTGTTCTCGAATAGAAATTGTTCAGCATAACACATAAAACTTATAAATTAAACAGTTTTATAAAAAGAAAAGAGGTCAAATAAAAAATGTCAAGATTTTTTTATTTAAATTTTTCTGTTATAAGCTTATGATCAAATATTTTTACTCAACCTTGAATATGAGAATATTAAATCTCAAATCTCAAAAAATACATTTGAAATTTAATTTCAATATTATATTTTCTTTCAAAACATTTCATTACATAGATAAATAAAATATACAGGGTGTCCCAGAATAACGTGTACGGTGGAACACCACAGATTCGTGGACTCAAAATAGGCAGATCTAGGGTAATTCACCTATATCCGAAATCGCTTAGTTTGGCCGCTAGATGGCCTCAAAGTTGGTGAAAATTTATTAATCAATTTTGATTATTTTTGTGGCGTGACCGGTGTGGACTTTTGCTTTCAATCTACACATTTTGTTGATATACAGAGTGTTTTTTAAAACTTACAACTTCTACAAAACTGATGTATGGTAATAATATTCGTTCATAACTTTTTCCTCTTTCAGGCAATAATGACAAGCAAAAGCAAAATTATGTTACAAATCGATAATTACGGCTTATTCATCTAGCATTAATACTCTATCTAGCAGTCCGCGCGTTCACACGGGCCCTCTTCGTAGCCCGGGACCGTGTGCGCCGCACACTCTGCACTCTAGTATTTACGCCACTGGCCAGAGGTTAGAATTACATGGTAGATAGTTGGTAAATACGATATTTTCTAAATACCATTAACATTAGTTCAATATTTATATTGGAATTTAGATATAGAATAATTAACAGTAAATGAAAAATTTGAGATTGCTTATTAAAACACATGTGTTTGCTATATGGTAAGTGCGAGAATAGAGACTTCTGGATTAAACTATCTGTAATTCTCATAACTCTAGGGTGTTTCATAACTCTAACGACACAGAGCAGGCACATATAGAGGATCTTAATATGTATATGCCGATTTGTTATGTAACATTTTTTTCTGGGATGTTCCTACCATTGAAGAGATATTAGCTTCTGAATATGCGTGTTAAATTTTGAAAAACAATAATATTTCAGCAATGCCTTAACATAGAGCAACCAGCCAACCAAATTTAGTACATGATTTCGTTTATTGTTAATTGGTAAAAATATGAATTTGCTGGAAGCCCAATAAGGGCCGGACTAGGCAGGGAGCCCTTAAAATGATATCGATCAGTATGCTAATTAGTAGATAGTTTTACTAGTATCACGGGAAATTTAATTTTAAAAATTGTTTTACTTACAAATTTTTAAAAAATAACGGTTTATGAGAAAAATCGGGATTTTGTGAAACATCGTCGTTGTTAATTGAATAGGACAAAAAGTAAAATATCGGCAATAATTTTTTTCTTCTTTTGTTATAAACAATATGACGCTGGACCTCTACAAATACATAAATTTAGGCTTTTATTCTGTATATTTTTTACTTTTGATATTTTTAACACTTAATTGTTATGTTACTACCAAAAAGAGTCAATTTCCTAATAAGAAATAATAAGAAATAAGAGTTTATTTTCAAATCAATGTAGCGCGATTTGCATTCTAGTCACGTGACTTAGGGAAAATCGCCGCCAAATGCACAAAAAGTCGGCTTTGACTCCATCCATACAGGGTCGGAAAGTCCCCATGGTTCATCGGACGTTACGTGAGAGCGATAAAGTAAGTCATAGAAATACGTGCGATAGAGAAAGATGGCTATAATGAAGGCGTCTAATAGTCACCGCCCATTTCGCCCTTCCACAAATAAGAGGTGGATCTTATTTGTTGAAGGGCAAAATGGGCGGTGACTATTAGACGCCTTCATTATAGCCATCTTTCTCTACCGCACGGATTTCTATGACTTTCTTTATCGCTCTCACGTAACGGCCGATGAACCATGGGGACTTTCCGACCCTGTATACTATTATATCTATAGTATTTGTACACAACTACTGTAATCAACTGTGAAAAAACTAGGCTTAGTAAATTTTTTTGCCGCTGGTACTCCGTCTATGTTTTGATGCAATGAAATCATAAATTCGTTTTTATAATCACTTACTATTCAAGTCACTTTGAAATCTCGAAAGTCTCTTTCTTAGGGATAAAACACTAAGTGATTCTGACTTTAGATTCTGATTCGGTGGGTCAAAGTACTTACTATCGGATGCACTGGTCTGGTCGACGGCCTAGCCAATTTTGTTTGTGGTGTTGTGTTATAACAATGCTTTGAAAACAAAACATCTAACCTCTGTTCAAAAAGACAGAAATATAATGTGGCTTCCATAAGAGAAAAATTATAAATAGCTTATGCTTATTTGTCCACTTAGATACTACGGCTAATTCGACATGTTTGAAATACATCCAAAAAAACTTTATCCTAATTTGACCAACCTTGAAAGTTATGGAATCGGAACATCGATGATCGAAAACTGAACACTTAGTATATTGTTAACATCTTGTTTAAAATAATGACTCACCCTGTATATTATGTAAATTATTCTTATTTCTTAGAATGCACTTTTTTATTTTTTAGGTTCCTTATCCACTTACTGTATGCAAATATTAAATTTTACCTCGTCTATTTCGAATTTCAGTTACCATTTTCTTCGCTAGTTGCAGATTGTTATAGAATTCTTCATCGTAAACATCAATTTGCGGTTTACTACCATCCATTATTCACTAAAATTTTTGTTTCATGTCAAGTCGTGTCACAAATCAATATTAATGACATGATGCCCATCAAATAAATTAAATTATTTGTTTGTATCCATGGCAACATGGCATATTGTTACCTATGAATGACATTTCTTTATCGGCGCGATAAAATCTTCTAAATGTAGTAGTGATTTCGTATATTAGGGCAGTCATGGTGACACGAGTAAGGAATCGGGGCTGCGTGCCCGACTTATCCACCGAGGGGGCCTTTGTGAAGCCACTTTCCAAGGAAAAGTTCGGGAGTGATGACTGGTACGATGGAATTTCCCCTTTTGAAAGAATGCATGCACATCATACTCTTGCAAGCGCGAGACGATACGCTTGTTTTAAGCCTTATTCGTAAGTATTAATTTAATACCTTTACACTATATTACATGGGTATATATTTATTTTTTAATACTTGCTTAATAATGTTATTGTCTAATTGTAAGATCAACTGTCCATACAACGTGTGGTCAGGACGCTTCAGAAAAATTGGGAGCACGTTTGACCACGAATTTATGAGATCAAAATAAGACGATTTAAAACCAACTTATTTAAACATATACAGGCTGTTACAATTCGCTTCTCACTACAGGGATCTTGAAAACGGTAAGAGATACAAACTAGCTTAAATGGGGACAAAGTTGCGTAATCAGGGACCCAACATTATGCCTCTAAAAAATCAAGGCTAACATTATTAGTTTTCGAAATATTTGAAAAAAAAACGAAATTTTGGAAATCCGTTTTTGTTTCATTTCAGTCTTGTTTGAGGTGATATTGAATTATCGTACACTGTAAGTGTCGTTAGACCCTGTGAAATCCATCTAGTTATTTAAACTATTACCACCACGCATTAAAATAAAAAATTATCAGAGTTTTATTCCCGTGTCCATAGTTATTTTTGGCTTCTCGAGTGCTCAAAATTCAAACAAATTCCGATCTCTTTTTTTCAGGATATTCATGCAAATACATCTGACATGCTCTTTCACAGTTGCGGTTACAGGTATAATAAATTCCGATAATATTCATTTTTAACCTTTGCCAAAACGAAAATGTTTTTGAACATTTACTGAAATATTTTAAAGAATAATATTCAGTTGGCGTTTGAATTGTTCATTTTATGCATTTTTAAGAATTAATTTGTCATAATAAAATTAAAATTGTAATACTTAATGTTTTAATTTTAACGCAACAACTTATTGAGTTATGTATGACCAAGTGATGGTAATAGTTAATAATAATAAATGTGTTATTGTAACGCGTGTTGGTAATAGTTTAAATAACTACATAGATTTCACAGGGTCTAACGACACTTACAGTGTACGATAATTCAATAAACAAAGAAATCTAAATAAAAAATTTAGATATTGGAACGAATACACTGAAGATGAATTTTTCGAGACAAAACGTCTGAATCTGGTTCGGGCTGAAGCAGTACAGTATTGGGGGTCATGAAGGCTTGCAAAATATGTAATAAAATTTGCAGAGTCGTATTTAAAAAAAAGAAGTTGATGATGGTCCTGGAGAGACGAAACGTTACATCTAAAAATTGATTATGCCATTCGATAGAGGACAAAAAGTGACCATGAGAAAGTGTTCTTGTTTTTTCAATATCATCTCAAACAAAGCTGAAATGAAACAAAAACGAATTTACAAAATTTTGGTTTTTTCAAATATTTTGAAAACTAATCATGTTAGCCTTGATTTTTTAGAGGCATAATGTTGGTCCCCTGATTACGCAACTTTGCCCCCATTTAAGCTACTTCGTACCTATTACTGTTTCCGAGATCCCTGTAGTGAGAAGCGAATTTGTAACAGCCTCTATGTGTATATGTATTCTGTCATAAAAAATAAGGTAAACGTGTATAATAGGAAAGCTAAGTAATTTTTGACATAATTTGGAAATAAAAATTCAATTCCGTAATTTTTTGTTAATCATAACATTTATACAGGGTGTAACTTTAAGTGAGGGTCAGTTTTTTCGGGGTGTGAATGTTGTCGCGATGAAATATTAAATTTATTTTTAAATGCTGACTTCGTGAAGCATGTATATCTGTAAGTGTTTAATGCAAGCGTCGGCAACTGGCGGACCGCGGTCCAGGTCCGGACCGCGAAAGGTAAAATACTGGACCGCCAAAAATTTTTTGAAAGTATAAATTACTCAAATAAATTATTTAAAAAATGTTTTTTTACGGTTAAGTGCCAGTCTTATCATTTTTTCTAGTATTTTACAATTGTGTGAGTGTTTTAAGTTCTTAATGGTTAGTAAGCAGATTAAATTTGAATTCAAATAAAAAAAATAAGAAATATGAATTTTTTCTGGACCTCGTTAAAAATTTTGAAAAGTATTCGGACCCCACCTAAAATTACTTGCCGACCCCTGGTTTAATGACATACTTTTTACGCCACTGTAACCGTACAACGCAAGGAGGAAGCATTCTCCAGCTTCAATAATGCTTTCCAGGTCAGCATTTGAGTTTTTGAAAACCCGGATGAGCTCGTTTAAATCTCGATTGTTCTTTAATAAATTCTTTAAATAAATTTAACATTGCATCGCTGCCACCTACAGAAGCAGCAGCACGACAACATTCGTTCCGAACCACCAGGTTCAGCAGTGGTATGGAGTTGGAAAAAATGCAGAGCGGTGAGGATGGAAAAAGCAAGAATGGGCAAATTCCTATCACCACACTTAAGCCCCCAGCTCCAGCAAACTTGCTAAAACTAATTTCTTGTAAATGTAAAAAAGGATGTCGGGGAGCCTGTGGATGCAGAAAGCTTGGACTAAAGTGCTCCGTTATCTGCGCGAATTGCAATGGTAGGTACCTGCGACAATTCGGATGTTGATCTGCAAGACAGTGATGAAGAGGAAGATACGGAGACAGTCCCTCAGCAAACCTTCGACGAAATCGAGGAAGAAGATGATGAAGTCGAAGAAGAGAACCCTATCGCGGATAACTTGGAAGAACTTTCTATCCGTGAGGTTTTGCTCAGTTCTGAAGACGAAGAACTCGCAAAACCTGGTCCATCAGGGATAGCGAAGGATATCAGGAGAATGCACTAAATTTAGTCAACAGTCCATCATATGTGGATTAGGCCTACTGGGAATACCATTAAAAAAAACGCGCCAAGAACTCTACCTCATGGTGGTGTGGAAATAAGTTTGTTGGCCAATACGCCTGTTGGAGTAGACTTTGCGGCCTCGTACGCCGAAACTATTTATTTCACAGAAAAAAAGGTTAATACATAAATTATAGGAAATGTTCTCTAGTTTAATTTATTACATAACTAATTTCACCGTAAAGTGAGTCGGAAAGGAAATATCGTCGAAAAACTGTTTTGGAGCGCCATTTTTCCAATATGGCGGCTACTTCCGGAAGAAAAAAGAGGTGGCAAAGTAAAAATTCGGAAAGAGCACGTCAAAATCTATAAATATACCAGTTTTCAGAACTCCCCTAAAACTTCACAGGCAACCCCCTTCTTGAGCGCCAACTGATTGGACCGAATAAGAAAATGTTCGTAAGTTTGTAAGTTGGTTCAACGTTTAAAAGATTATAGAAGTTAATGTTGGATGGGAACAAAACCAGAGAATTAGAAAGGACCCCGCACAAACCTTATGGGAAACTCCGTTCGGTCAATTTTAATGAAATTAAAGAATAGGTTGTTTTTGTTATGAGGAACAAAAGTCTTCATGGGCCCAAAATTCGCTAATGGACAGTTTCCGAGATATTCGATGTTAAAAGTTGATAATACACGTGTTTACATGCTTATTCGTCTAGATAGTGCATACCTATTTTAAATATTTGACGTTTAAACGTCATGTTCAAAAATACCAGTTTCGTAATACTCTACAGGTTGGGTAGTAAACATTTTCTTCATGGCGTGCGTAACCCAAATACAATAAAATAGATGTGACATGGGCACATGTACCCAAAGTTCGAGTGCCCGCTTTACATGTGCAGTAGTAACCAAAGATAGGGCCTATCTTATTCTGTTCATTTTCAGGGTTGAATTCTTCATCAAACGCAATCCATATTTGATGTCGTGTAGCATTTCGAAATCTAGAAAATATTCTAAATCTGGCAAATCCTGCTTCATTTGTATTCATGTCGATTTCAATTATTTGCTCTTCATTTTGATCATCATCGTTTACGTCAACTCGTACTATAGTGTCTTGAATATAGGAAGGGGCTAAGTATACCTGGTAGGTTCCATAAGTGAGTTTTCTCAGGTATTGTAATGTCAGTAAAGGAAATAAAGGTAAGTGAGCGGCATTCAATGGATTCCATCGAGCTCGTCTCTGCCTTTAGTTTTCTGCTTCTACTCTAGCTTGAACTATATTAATTTCATGAGCTTGATCTAACATTTCTTGAGCTAAGTTTTCGGTAGCATCTTACATAACGATAGGTTCACAATATCTGTTAATAATAGCTCCAGAAGTACGTAAGAAATCTTTTAGATTGGGAATATGAGAAGTAGAAATGCTATTTGCAAAGAATTTGAATTTCACTTTAAGATGTCCATTCCGGGTTTCTCCAATCCATCTAGTTTTCGTTATAATGCGTGCACTATTTGCTTCTTCGATTGTAAATTGGTTTCGATTGGGTTCTAAAAGATTAGACATTCTTGTCTGAATGCCAATTAATTGAAGAGTGGGAATAGTATCTCGGTAACCACGATCAAAAATGAATATATCTTCACGCTCAAACCAATCTTGTAAGCCGTTGAGGTCTCTTTGAAACTCATTTATTAGGATACGTGCATCATTATTGGCAGCATTTGAAAAATATGGACCTTGAATATCCAATATGTCCGGAGCAACAAGTAATGAGGGTTTCAGTAAATGTTTGTTTTTGTGAACGCAAAATGATTGCCGTAAAACTTTGAAGCATGAACTTTTTTCAATATCTAAATAAGTACAATCGACATAAACAATTGCTCTAGGAATATCTGGGGTAGGATTATACAGAAGATTGGAA